TTCTGTTCAGATTAAAAATAGTTCTTCCGCCATCTTGATCTAGTTACTGTGTTCCTGGCCTTTATTCGGAATACACTACAAAAACTTATCGTCTGAACCTAACGACTGGTGAAATATTCTGTAAGCGTCTGCGCGAAAGGTATATCCAGACAACTTGCATAGAAAAACTGGCTATAGCTATCGCACCTAATTTTTTTAAAAAAATGTTTAAAACTAAACTGGTGGGCAGCACTCTGCGAACAGTTGTTGTAAAATTTATTTACTCTCCGACGCGTTTCGTGTAACGGTTGTAGACTTCTTCGGGGAGTTTTACAAGTTAACTCAAAACGCTTGTACTTATAAGCCGTAGTTAGCGGCTATACGAAGACCAATGACCATAAAGGCTTGGCCGGACCAACGAACAGGAACAGGCGAAGTTGCGAAAAATTTGAAAATTTTTTGGGGCAAGGAGGGAGAATTATTTGGGCACCACGGCTTTGTTTTCTTTTTTCGTCACGCACGTCACACAGCAAGTCACAAAACGTAAATATAATTCTTCTTGGTGCCTTCCGGATGCCACCGATGCCTCCATTGTTTATTACAGCAGTAAAAGATATTTGTACAATCAACACTTTGGAAAAATTGCTTAACATTTCATGTAGTGACGTATACTGTTGACATTTCGGCTTTACAACATCGTTTTCCACAGCTACAACCGATATGTTTCTATGTGATCTATTAAAGTTGTTTCCCCGCTGACCGCTCGTATTTCTATCTTTTCCTCTCCCCCCGCTCGTCGCCCGTGATGTAATCACTCCCAACAAAATCAACATGTGTAACCTTTTTCGTAACTGCTCTTTCATCCCTAAACACTCTTGCGTGACAACACCAAACAATACCTACGACGAAAACTACAGTCTCCGTAGTGGTCACGACAAAATGCAAACTACAGAATGCAGACTGCAGACCGGGTACAAAATGCATACGAAGTACAAAATACACACTGCATACTGAAAAGTGGGCTCAAAATGCACACTGAGAATTAAAAGTGTTCTTTTCCTCTGATATGTTGTAGAATTTCATCTTACAATTTACCAAGTGTCACTTTTGCGCGATCATCTCACCGCGAAAAAGCGATTGCGTGACGCTCGGTAAGTTGTAATATGAGATGGTATCACATACCAGACGAAAAAACTCTTTAGATTCTCAGTCTGCATTTTGTACCCAGTCTACAATCTGCTGTCTACATTTTGTACCTACTCTTCAT